CAAAGTATTCTTGAATTGAGGGAGTACTTGAGTGGAGGCCCAATGTCCATCTGCTAACTTAATACTAAACCTATAAATATGTGCACATAGATCTATTTCCCCAAGACTATAACTCTTTATGAGAGTAGAAATCCCCATTTTTCTCCCATGGAGTGGTTTCAACCTGCTGAACTTGCAGTTAGCAGCCCGATTTGTAGCCACTATGCCACCAGGAATCCTCTCCTTAATTAATACAAGAGAGCTATAAAAAGTTCATAGAGAAGTAGAATGAAAAGGTAGTGGAATTTTTCTACGAACTTTTGAAACTCCTCATATTTCTTGTAGAATTTTTTTTAAAGTATTCAAGAACTTGCTAACATTCTTCTGAATTATCAGAGGTGATCAAATTTTGCTTTCATTAAGTTGATTCTTACTCATAGGGAACCCTGTAGGACAGGATAGACCTGCCCCAGTCACTTTAAGGCTTTACAAAAGTGGCGAGCGTCCTGCAGAACCACACATTATGGTAAGCAGCCTGGGTGACAAGAGGGACAATTTAATGGAATCTATAGCTGTCTAAAATCTAGTCAAATCCTACAGTGGCAACCCAACTATTTCTAGTTCTTTAGGCAGAAAACGTTCGGCTGCTATTGAAAGGTTAGCAGTTCTAGTCCACACGGAATCTTTGAAGGAGAAAGACCTGTTGATCTCCCAAAAGAATTAATTACCTTATAGAAAAAAGCCCTTTGGCTTTCTGCTCTGTCACATGGAGTTGCTGTGAGTAGAAACTTAATGCCAAACACCACCACAATAGGCAACAAAGTCCTTTGAAGAGATTAGTCTAGTGGTAATGAATGCATATCGGGTGATGCAGCTCTCTGAAGATAAGGCTTGCCTGTAGAGGTAGCTCCAGCCAGAGTCTCTTAGGAACTCCTCCCCGCCTAGCCCTAAACATGTTTTGTATTCTGCCTGTCTTCAGCTACGATCCATACTTCAAGCCTTAACCTACTGAAATGAAGCTTATCAATTAGGCATAGGCACAAAAACCCAAACAAACAAACAACTAATCCAGAAATATAAAGAAATACATTACAGCAGAGAGCAGTTCCATAGACTGTAGAAAGTCCCACAAGTAAGAAGTTGGCATTATCTTTGAGCATTTGCCAAGAAAATAATCCAGCTTTTCGGCTTAATTTGTATACATTCTTCCTGATAGGACACATGAAGTTTATCAGGTTTTGTTTTGGCTCCATTTTCCTTTGACCTAGATTTCCTTTGATCCACCATAACACTTTCAAATACCAAAATAACCTACACTTCATTCTATTACCTTGATTTTCTTATGTTGAACAAACTTTGTAATTCTGGCATAAATCTTTGATTATGGTATAACCCTTTTACTACGCTGTTGGATTTGATTTTCTAGGATTGTATTGGTAGATTTTTGTGTCTATGAGGGATATTGATCTGTAGGTGTCTTTAGCTAGCCTTAATACCAGGCTAATATAATTTCCTAGAATGAGTTAGGAAGCATTCTCTATGCTTATAAGTTTTGGATTTTATTTCTTAATAAATAAAAGTGTAATGTTAACTTTTTATTTATTGATTAGTATAATTTTCCTGAAAGCCTAATCAATTAAGTATGTGCAGAGAAAAATGGATGTTACAAAGCTATAGACTTAAGGACAGTGCTCTGGAGTAAGTTTTCTTTGTAGAAGCCAGGCAGCAGATTTTATATATGTAGTGCTTCGCACTTGGGTCGTACTTAGTTTATTGTTGAATTTTAGGGGTGGGAACTGTAGACCTAGTGGAATAGCTCCAGATAATTCTCAAGTAGAAGAGCACTTCTGCTTTTTCTGCAATTTCAGCAGAAATAATTCCCTAAGTGATAAAAATAGACTCCTGTAACCTAGAGCCTAAAACAACAAATAAAGGGTATAAGCATCTGCTAGAAGAAAAAACAAACAAGGGGAGCTGGGTAGTGCATTTATAATAGAAACTAACATTTTTATTTTACAATAATTATATCTTTTATTTTTTTAGACTTTATTGCAATATGCAAGCAACAAGAATGCATCAGAACATATTGTGTATCTTCTGGAGGTTTATCAACTTGCCATCCAAAGCTTTGCCAGCGCACGACCGTATTTAACTACTGAATGTGAAGATGTCCTCTTAGTGCTTGGCAGATTAGTACTGTAAGTTATAAAACCTAAATTACCCTTAAAATTGAGACTCTTGGTTTTAAAATGTTTGTCTGATTTCTGTTTATAGTGACATCACATTTATTTTTCAAAGTACCAGTATTCAAACCTTAGATTGAAATTTCCTGTACTCCGAGCTGCCTCCAATCTCAGTACTCAAAAGGGAACCACCAGTTAAGCAATATAAGCTTTAATGCCCCTAGAATTTCTTTTTCTATTTAGGCTACGAATTTGAGAATGACACTTGAATAACACTATTCAAGAGACAGTATCTGGTAACATTGCTGGTCATTGAAGATTGCTATGTATTTTGGGCAAAACACCATAAAACCCAGCAACTTGATTGTATTATTTGAACTAAGAATAATTTTACTAGCAAAAATAGCAAATACAGAGTAAGGTCAAACACCCCCCCCCCCCAAGAGGCTCCTATGATCTTTCAGCTCTTGGAGGGAGGTCACTAGGAGGGTAGGGGGTGAAGTAAGGGAGAACCGATCACATGATCCGTGTATGGCCCCCCAGACAGCAGAAACGTGGGTGAAATGAGACAGTGGTTGGTGTAAAACATGAAGAAAAAAAGAAAGAATAATTTATAAATTATCAAGGGGACATGGGGGAAAGAGGGAGAGGGAAAATTGAGCTGATGCCAGGGGCTCAAGTATAAAGAAAATGTTATGGGAAAGATAATGACAACATATGTACAGATGTTTGACACAGTGGATACATGTATGGATTGTGGTAAGAGCCCCCAATAAAATAAAATAAAAAAATAAAAAAAAGAAGAAGAAACTCGTTTGGAAAGCAGAGCGTGGGAATAAACTAAAATAGAACGTTAAAAAAAACCCACCTTTTAAAAATTTGTTTAGCATCAGACAAAAAAAATTTACTCCTTTAAATGTAATTCCCATTTACAAATTAAAAAAAAAAGGGACAGATATTAAGTTTATCTGGAAATAACCTTGGTCCAGTTTACAGTTTGTTTGGGATAATGTTTAGTCTAGGTGATTTATTTTTCTTAGGCCATACTTGTTTTCTGTCTTAGTTTCCAAAGCCAGAAACTTTAATTGCATGCCTTTTTGTAAATAAAAATAGCCATGGTTTATTTGAAAAATCATATTTACCCATAGATTCCTTCTACCAAGTCCCACTTTCCTATATTACCTAGTCTAAAGGGGTAAAATAATAATGCCAGTTTTATTGGCATGTAATTTATGTATTATAATTCAATAGTTCAATCATTCAGTCCCATCAAGGAAAATTGTGCAATCACCCCCACTTCAATTTTAGAGGACCTACCCCCCTGGTTAAATCAAAAAGAGTAAAGTAATATACTATTGGATTCTAGAGAGGTATGTGTTGAATGATTAGTATTTTGAATCTATCCTTACTCAGGTTATGTATTTCTTCTTTGTTTTAATTTTTATTGTTATTTTGTTACTGTGACTAACAGTTAAGATAGTACAAAGGACCTCTTTTCCTTGCTTAATGTGTTAAAGAAATGTTTTTTGTGCTCTTTTCTGCTTCCTGTGCAGGTGACAGAAACCTATCTATATGTCCATGTCCCCACCCTCATATGAGCTAAAGTAAACTTTTTGGAATATAATTTTTAAAAGGGTTGTATTTTTACCAAACACATTAAAGCAATAATTTAACTGTATAGACTCCTAAGAGTTTTCTTTTTTTTTCCTATCAAAATTGAAAAGCCAATGCAACAATGTAGAATATTTTGAAGAGCAAAATACAAATGAAAATAGCTTCAATGGGTAGAAAAATATATAATCTGTATTTTTATGTCTGTAACCACATTTTTATGCTCGCTTATTTATATTGTAGGAGTTGTTTTGAATTGCTGCTTCCAGTATCTGAAAGTGAACTGCCATGTGAAGTCTGGGTACCTTTCCTTAAGAGTCTACAGGTAAGTTAATTTTAGCTCACAGAACTCCAAGACACCTACGTAATTTCTTTTAGAAACTTAAATGAGAAACTTAGAACAAGAACAAATTGATTTTGTTGTTGGATGCCATCGAGTCAAGTTCAACTCGTCGCAACCCTCATAATACAGTAGAATTAACTTGTAGGGTTTTCTAGACTGCATTCTTTATTGGAACAGGGCACTAGATATTTTCCCCGTGGAGCATCTGCTTGGTTTCAAACTGCAAGTCTGTCTTTTCTGTATATTTTGTGATCATTAGATGCCATCAAGTGGGCTCTTACTCATAGTGACTCTTTGTACCACAGAAAGAACCATTGCTTGGTCCTGCAGTCCTCACAGTAGTTGTTGCGTGAGCCCATTATTGCATCCATTATGTCTGTCTGTCTTACTCTTTTTCACCAGCCATCTACACTGCCAGATATGATGTCCTGATAACATATCCAGAGTATATGAGATGAAGGCTTTGTACCATTGATTCTAAGGTGCATTCCTAGCTGTACTTCTTCCAAGACATATTTGTTTGTTTTTCTGGCAGTCCAAGATACTTAATATTGTTCGACAACACCACAATTCTAAGACATCAATCCTTCTTGGCTATCCCTAATTGTTGCCCACCTTTCTAATATATACGAGATGATTGCAAATACTTGGGTTTGGGTCAGGCACCCTTAGTCTTCTAAGTAACCTATTTTCTTTTTAACGCTTTCAAGAGGTCTTGTGCAGCAGATTTGTCTAACATAGTACATCACTTAATTTCTTGACAGCTGCTTCCTTGGGTCTTGGTTGTGCATTCAAGTACAATGAAATCCTTGACGAGATTAATATTTTCTTCACTTGTCATTAGGTAGCTTATTGACCCAATTGTGAGGATTTTGTAGTATATTGAAGTGTAACCCACACTGTAGGCTCTAGTCTTTGATCTTCATCAGCAAGTGCTTCAAATCCTCTCTGCTTTCAGCATGGAAGGGCATATCACATGCAAGTTGTTAATGAGTCTTCCTTCTATTCTGATGCCACCACCTTACTTGAGTTTCTTAGACTATTTGTTCACCATACAGATGGAATGAGAATGGTGAAAGGACATAACCTTGATGTACACCTCTCCTGATTTTAGACCAAGTAGTATTTGCATGGTGTGTTTGGATGACTGCCCCTTGGTCTATGTACACATTTTACATAAGCAGAATTAAGTGTTTTGGAATTGCTATTCTTTGTATTGTTACCTATAATTTGTCACCATGTGGGGATGTGAAATTGCTTAACTATGACTCTTCTATCCATTTGTCTATACCTTTTACCAAATGATTGGGTGGGACCCTATGAATAAGGTGTGTGAAACATGAATAGAGGTGATTCATGGGTATAAGAATGAGTTCTCTCAGAAGCAGGAAGGGAGAATTCTGCAGACCATGAAGGAAGAACCACCATCAAAGCATGTCTCAGATCCCTGCCTGAAGTGGCTGAGGCCATGCTAAAGAGGGACTGGAGCAGAGAATCCATGCTGCTGACACCATGCCATGTGGTAGTGAGGCAAAGCAACAGGTAGGCTTCCTGGTCAAAGGCAGAGGCTGAGGGATGGAATGACTGAGAGGCTAAAGACTTGAGGGATAATTAACTCATCTAAGGAGAGGCTCTGCTCTGGACCAATGAGTATTTTATTAATGTTTTCTGTTCCTGGCTAATGGTAGCCTGTTAAGTTTCCTAAATAATTCCAATAATTATGAGCATTGTCTGTGAGTTCTGTATGTCCACTACAGTGGATTATTAGAGTGCTGTGGGAGGAGTGGTTGGTGTCAGGCTAGGGGAAAAGGAGTATGTGGGCGGAGGTATGTCTGACCTCTGCTGAATTGGATTCTCCATCTCCCCACTGAAGCTGAAGGAGGTTAAATGTCCCCATACCATTTCCTTAGCTCCACACATTCACATACTTTTGTGTAGTCAGTAAATCATGGATACAAAAGTAAGTAAAAAAGTATTGCTGTTAAGGTTCTAGTTCATACATGCACAGATTTATTCCAAACAAAGCATGTTTAAACATGTGTCTGAACAGTAGTTGGCTGCAGACAATCTCTCAGTAACACCCTTGCCTTAATGTCATTAGGTTATCTTGAAAAGTAAAGATACTTTTGTGCCTGGGTTGGGGTGGGGGGCCTATTTAGAGGTCAGAACTAATTTTATTATATGAGGGGGTACCCAGAATATCTGGAGTACAGTGAACCCTCGTTTATCGCGGTTAATTGGTTCTAGACCCTACCGTGATAAATGAAATTCCGCGAAGTAGGATTCCTTATTTGTAAATCAAATATTTTCGTAGTTAGAGCATAGAGGACATGAAAAA